ACTTCCTCATGCAGTGCCAAGGCAAATGAGGGCGGTGGGCATCAGGTCATCCCATGTCCATCTTCAATGGTTCTCCCTGTCCTGGGGCCGCTCTGGGCCCACTGGTTTCTCTGCATGCTCAAGGCCTGGGCATCCTTTGCAAGATGGTCCTGACTGCCTACAAGCACCAACATCGGGGCGCCTGGGTGGTTCAGTCAGTAAAGCATCTGGCTTCAGCTCAAGTCATGATCCCAGAGTCCTGGGATCAAGCCCTACATCAGGCTCCCTGCCTCTGCCACTCCTCCTATTTATGCTCTCTCTCTGTCAAATAAATAGATAAAATCTTAACCAAAAAAAAAAAAAAAAATAGAAGCACCAACATCTATCACTCTCTGAGGACCTAACTCCCAGGGACACACCAGGAAGGACTCCTGTTCCATCTGCTTTTAGCATCCCCAGATCTCTATGTCTTCTCCCATCTTTCTTCTCACAACCCAGGGGATTTGGGGGAGGGAGGTGGAAGATCATTCTTTCCCTCCAAATTTCTTCAAGACACATAGTCTTTTGGTCCAAAGTCCCCTTGCCTCTTTACAAGTGGGAAAAAAAAAAAAAAAAAAGGAAGGAAAGAGAAAGAAACATATAAAAACAAAGTAAGTTGCTTTCTCTAAAAGAAAAGATAGAAAAACGTCTTGGTTGTCTTTGACCCCGTCACATGCCTCCAGTAAGGCAATGACCGGCATGCCTGCATGGAGAGAGGGCGTGAGAGAAACAAAGGCGTATCACAAATGTCATCCGGTCACTTGAGAAACACGTATTTACTCTCCTTTCCCTCACTCAAAACTTTTGCTGTGGTCAGTTGTGATTCTTTTCTTGGCAAGTGATACTGCTTGCAAGAAATGTCAGAATAAAAGCTTCTCTTTTGTTCCTTCTAACAGTTCCTTAGCACCTACATTTCTCCAGCGGCTTCTGCCCACTTCTGCAGACTCCTCCCAGGCCGGCTCACATCTCATCCTGAGAGAAGCTGGCTGGAAGGAACCATTGCCCGACCCCCACCCCACCCCCCAGGCAAGAAAAACAGGAGTGCCACAGACAGCAGCTCAAGGGGCCTCATGCATCCCCCAAAATGTTTTAAGCCTGAAATGCCCATGCTCCCACCCCGCACCTGCCCCAAGTCAGTACATTATATGAACGTTTTCTAATTCCCACATCCCAAAAAGCCCTTTTTTAGCCTTCATCTTACTTGGTGTCTCTCTATAAAAGATGACCGTCCCCCCTCCTTAAAACTCTCTTCTTCTTAGATTTGGCTTATGTGGCACCTATATTCCCCTGGCTTTCCTCCTCCTTCCCTGCCACAGCCTGGCTCTGGGATCCGACCCTTTCATCGATCCCTTCTTTGCTAATGTGCCGCAAGGTCCTGTCCTTGGCCCTCTCCTTACTACAAGCCCTCACAGAACAAACTCGGCTTCTGTCAATGCTACAACACCTACCAAAACCTCAAAAATCCCCACCACATTCCCTTCCCTCCCCTCCCTCCCTCCCCCCTCCTCTCCCTTTCTGATTCCAGACACATAAACGCAATTGTCTGTTGACTATTTAGCTAGAAAGCAAAAAGCCAGAAGGGAGGTAGGGTAAGATTGCTAATTTCCTATATTTGAAAGACAGGACCACAGAGCAGACCAGGACCAAATGGGTAGATTCCAACTTAATACAAGGGAGAATTTTCTAACAAGGAGCACCAGCCAGCAGTGGACGGGCCCCTTCTGAGGTAGTGAGCTCCCCATGACTAGAAGTGGGCAGAGAGGATTCCTACACATAGTACAAGGCCAAACCAAGCAACATCCAAGTTCACACGTCCCCATGAGATTGATACTTCTCAGCTTGGCATTCAGAGATCTGAATAGATAGAAGTTTTGTTGGTGTTTTGTTTTGTTTTCATTTTCTTGAATACCTAAAAATTGCAATTCTTCGTTATAGGACACTGGTTAGAAATCACTGCAATATTTCCTTTTATTCAATTTTTTTTTAAGATTTATTTATTTATTTGAGAGAGCGAGAATGAGAGAGAGAGAGTACATGAGGGGGGAGAGGGTCAGAGGGAGAAGCAGGCTCCCCGCTGAGCAGGGAGCCCGATGCGGGACTCGATCCCTGGACTCCAGGATCATGACCCGAGCCGAAGGCAGTCGCCCAACCAACTGAGCCACCCAGGCGCCCTTATTCAATTATTTTTTAAATAACCACAATTTTGTCTATCCAATAATTTATCCTACAAACTCATTTGTCATACACACTCTAGTTTTGAGAGAACAAAATTTACTTGGTCGTTGATTGAAGGCTTTTGGATTAAAGCACAGTTGAAAAACTCCCTGCTTCTGGACATTTCTCTCTGTTCTATTCCTCTATGGTATTTTTAAAGATAAATAAATAGATGGGGCACCTGGGTGGCTCAGTCGTTAAGCGTCTGCCTTCGGCTCAGGTCATGATCCCAGGGTCCTGGGATCGAGCCCCGCATCGGGCTCCCTGCTCCGCGGGAAGCCTGCTTCTCCCTCTCCCACTCCCCCTGCTTGTGTTCCCTCTCTAGCTGTCTCTCTGTGTCAAGTAAATAAATAAAAAAATCTTTAAAAAATAAATAAGTAAATAAATAGAAAAGGAATCCTAACTGAACCCTAATCTAATTTAACACAAAGACTTTTCTAAAAGTTCTTCTTTCTAAAAGTTCAAGGGGCGCCCGGGTGACTCTGCCGGTTAAGTGTCCGACTCTTGGTTTTGGCTCAGGTCATGATCTCAGGGTGAGATTGAGCCCCACGCTGGGCTTTGCGCTCAGCATGGAGTCTGCTTGAAATTCTCTCTCTCTCCCTCTGCCCCTCACTGCTGCTCACGCACACTCCAATAAACAAAATCTTTTTAAAAAAATATGAAAGCAAACTGCCTGCAACTCCATCACAGAATCAAACTGTTTCCATTTGTTCGTGTTAATCCTTATCACTTGCATATGCAATTTTTTCATCTTTACAATATTATCAGAGCAGCTTTATAGTATGTATTTTCACTTACTATATCATTAGTATTTTTCCATTTCATTACTTTCTTCCCCTTACTTCCCACCTCACCCCCTCAAGATAACCGATGTTCACAGCCTGGAGAGTTACCGTCTACATCCTTACTGTGCTTGGATCACCCAATGTGGGGGGGTGGGGGGGCACCAGAACACTATTTGAATCACAACTGACTAAGCTCCCTCCTTCTCTTGTTCTCCCGACATACCCAACTTTCGACATCCTTCCTCCAGTGGACCTTACTGCCCTCCTCCTACCCGCTTTGTCGGAAACAACCAGGAGGAGGAACCGCAAAGATTAATTCCTACAAAACAAGAGTGTCCTAGATTCTCAGCTGCTCCTCGGATCACGGCAGCAGGACCTGGAGAACTTCCTTTGCTCAGCCTCTCACGCACATGGCCTTTCTGTGCCACGTTTTCTCCCCACCCTCCAACATCCGTATATTCTCCCACCTTACAACTTGGGCCTTTACTCAGTTTTACTCAGTTTCAGCTACCTCACTGCTCCAGCTTACACATGGGCCAACACAGCCTGTCAACAGCACAGCCTTGCATTCTGCGGTTCTGCCGTCCTCCTGAAGCCCCCGACATTCCTTGGCTCAGTTTCTCAAATTTACCTTTTCACACCAGAAATGCTCATTTTCACACCGATCTAATCAGCTCTGGCACTGGGAGGAGGAGGAAAGACAGAGCAGTGTGGTGATATGGTCTATGACTGTCCCTTTAGCAAGGATGGTGGAAGGGGACATTTTTTCTTCCCAGGGTAGTTTGGGTCATGAGGCCCCTCACAGCGAAAGCCACCGCTTTGCCTCATAAGGTTCTGCCCTGCTCACACACTTTGTGGGGCCTCTGAAAAATCATTTAAATGGTTAAATGTTCATTTAACAGCTATGGAGTTGACTCCGATTTCAGATCTGAAATTGTTCTTGACTCAGCTTCAAGAGGGAGGCAGGGAGGTAAGAAACAATCCCTGAGCCGGCCAGAGAGGCAAAGGCGACTTAGTCTGGTGCATCACAGACCTGCCAAGGCACAGCCCCCAGAACCCACCTCTAGGCTTGTACTCACAAGGGGTGGGCAGCCAAGGAAAGCTGACCTGAGAGTCACGTGTGGGGTTAGGGCATGGCTCTGCCATTTCCTGGCTCTGGGATCTTGCAGAAGTCAAAACATTTTGAGTCTTTTTTTCCTCACCTCGAAAATGACACAATTTCAGGGCGCCTGGTTGGCTCAATCAGGGGGAGTATGCAACTCTTGATCTTGGGGTTGTGAGTTCAAGCTCCACATTGGGTGTAGAGATTTTTTTTTTTTTAAGATTTTACTTACTTATTTATTTATTTGACAGAGAGAGAGAGAGAGAGACAGCGAGAGAGGGAACACAAGCAGGGGGAGTTGGAGAGAGAGAAGCAGGCCTCCCGCCGAGCAGGGAGCCCGATGCGGGGCTCGATCCCAGGACCCCGGGACCATGACCCGAGCCGAAGGCAGACGCCCAACAACTGAGCCACCCAGGCGCCCCGGGTGTAGAGATTACTTACAAATAAAATCTTTAAAAAATAAAATAAAATAAGGCAATTTAAAAAAATCGTGACTTCATATAGTAATTACAAAGAGCAAATAATTAAATGGAAAACAAGGTTAAAGAAAAGAAAATAAGGTTCAAAATCCTTTCATACCAGTCGAGGGCTATATAATTGCTGGTTTAATTTATTTGCCATTTTATGTTCCAGCTTGCTTGTTTACTAAGTAAATGGTCAATTTTTCATCAGCAGGAAGAGAAATCAGCCACAAAGTCACCAACATTTCTTGGATTCTAATCTCTGGCCAAAAAATTATTTTCTTTCACAGAGTAGTTTTAAGGGTCCAAGTACCTCCAATCCTTAAAATGTAAGACAGGGACTTGAACTAAAGGAGTAAAGCTTTGCTGGTAAGTATCCAATTAAAAGGGGGGGAGGGACGGGGAGTAAACAAAAGCGTATCAAATTTTTTCTACCTTTATTTATAAAGAACACAACTCCTCCTGACACAGACACAAACACTCACATGTCCCAAGGAGGAGCTCACTAAAAACAACAACAACAACAACAACAGAACTGGAGGACACTGGGGTCCTAGTTAACACCAGTCTATGCTCCCGACTCTGGGATCGCTGGGAATGGGTCCTCAAATGTGACCTCTCACCTCAATGAAAGGAAGAGAGACCTTCATCTGGAAGGCAGGCCCACCCACCAGGCAAGAAGCTGCAGACTCAATCTTCAGCATCATCAAACTGTCCTGTTTCGAAGACCATCTTGGAATAATGGGGTATCAGCGGGGGCGGATGGTGCCAACTGGGGTCATAGATCATGTCTCCTTGCGGGGCACAGCACACCCAAGGTTTGACATCTTGAGAAATGCAACCCTGGATGTCATCGGCATCTGCAAGCAGTTTAAAAAAAAACAAAACAAAACAGATTAAAGGTAGGAGGGGAGGGGAGACATCCAAAAAGTGTCTAGGGGACTTGCAGTTCAAAAGCACACACACAGAGCCCTCCTTGGACTGCAAACGCGTGTGTTCTGAGGCACCCCCGACTGGTGCTTCTCAGGGGAGGGCCCTTAGCAGTGCAGAGGCCGCAACTGCAGAAGACAGCACTTCTCCCTGCAGCTGCTAGATTCACACAGATATTTTAAGAGAGTCAACTACAAAATTTGCATTTTTTTCCCAATATGAAAGAGAAGCTGTCACAGACATTTCAGCCCTGTAACAGGTATCAGGCTAAGCTCACAGATTGAGTCCGTCTTCCAAACTGTCTGCCTTTGGGGTAATTTGGTAGGAGGGTCTCCAAACCTTGGTCTAGGACCCCAGAAACGCCACACCTACCATACGGATTCCCTTGATCTGCCTTCAACTCCAAGTCCCAGTCCTCGTTAAAAAGATCAGCAGCCTGTTCCTTGGGCGGACAGTCGGATACCCCTTCTGACAGCTCCCAGGTATTCAGGTCCCCATCCGAATCCTCATCATCCATAGCAAAGCCTTCCTCTTCCGAGTGGGTGCCCTCACCGTGGGTAGGACTACCATTAGGGATGCTCTGTGCTCCACTGGCTAAGAAATCAACACAAGGAAGAAGGTCTTAAAACCACTAGCAACGACACAGGGCCTACTCATGTGCTTGGAAAATGTCTGGCAGACTCCTGAGACAGCAAGAGTAACACAAGGGTACAGAGTTCCTTAGCCACCTGAGCACTTAAAAAAAAAAAAAAAAAAAATGTTCTTCTGTTTACGTTTTTCGAAGAAGGGTTGATCTTTTTCTTTTTTCCCCCCAGTAAAACGTTTTGCCTTAAACAAGGTCTTGTAATTCATACAGGGAATCAAGCAAATCTAACACAGTTTATATGTTTAGGTAGTTTACAGGTAATTGAGGCAAAGGGCATCTGGAAAATGACAAGCTTTCACAATACAAACTTGAATTGAATTTGTACTCTTCTATTTCTCTCTCTTTTTTTTTTTTTTAAAGATTTTATTT